GGCAGCTGTGGCTGAGTGGTTAGAGCAGTTGTCCTCCAATACGAGAGTTGACTGATACTAGATCTAGTATAGAGCTGTAATGGGTAAATGAAGCACAAATTGTTGTAAAAAGCTTAGAGTATCTTGATCAGATAAAAAAAGCACTATATAAGTGCAGTCCATTTATTTATATATATATTTTTTTCATTGACCCTTTATTTATACAGGTAGTCTCATTGAGCCACGAGAACTCATTTTCAAGAGAGACCTGTTTAGGGAGCAGATGGGGGGTTAAGGGCCTTGCTCATGGGCACAGAGTGGGGCGAATGAGGATGGAGGCAAATGTGGGTGCTTCACCTGCCCCACCCACAATTTTTGATGTTGTCGGGGCGTGAACTGGCGATCTTCGACTCACAGGCCCACCTCTCTAACTTCTGCGCCTCCACTCCTCCCTATATATATATATATCTATATATATCTATATATATCTATATATATCTATATATATATATATATATATATAGATAGATAGATAGATAGATAGATATATATCTATGTAGATATATATCTATGTAGATATATATCTATGTAGATATATATCTACGTAGATATATATCTACATAGATGTATATATATATCTATATATAGATATATAGGCGTTTTAAACTCTTCTCACACTTGCAATATTCTAAACAATGTTTCTAAACTCTAAACGCTCTAAAAAGCACATAGTATCATGATATCTCTGCCTCCAGCTGCTTTCTGCCACCTGTTAGTGCTCTTGGCCACACCCACTTCTCCGCTGCAGAGCGGCGATATGAGGGGGAAGCTTTTTCTGCAGCCGTGGACTGCTCAAAGGTGCAGCAGGTGTTAAATCATTTAAAATAATTTATTTTAACTAAAAATCCATGCTGAATGTGCAGCTCCTCCATCTATCAGCCAGTTGTGTGTCATGTCCAATCTTATTTTGAAAAACCATGACTGAGCGAGTCCTTGGAAAATTATCTGTGAAGTTGTGATGGACTACTGTACAATAGGGATGCACGATATTGGATTTTTGGCAGTTGTCCGATATTTTAAAACTTATTTGGCCGATATTGATATTTTATATATAATTTCGCTTGTCAAAACATAACCCTCTTATTTAGGCCTATTTGCTTCAAAAATTCTGTAACTGCTGTAAGAGCTGGTGACATATATTCAGTAACAACCATATGATATGCATAGCACTTTAACTTATATTAATTGAAAAGTGTTAAATATTATTCATTAATTTAATAATTATTATTAGCATTAGTCACTTGCAATGCTCTCACTTGTGGAGGCTTGTTCCAGGTTCCTATAGCTGCAGTGTGGGATCCTATGCACTCCTGAGCATGAAGGACAGACTTTTAAGTTCAAAGTTTTGTCTATCCATTGTGCCGTAAGGCTAATCATGCCAACGAGGCTAACACGACGTCCAAATGTCTGAGGTAAAACTCACCCAAGTGCCATCGGCTGTTAGCTTCTCAATGACGTCAGAAATGACGGCTTGTAACTCGGGTAACGTTACGTCGGAAAAATATCTCAGACTGGGGACGATGTAGCGAGGCTCAACGTAATCCATAAATAACAAAATCCATGCTCAATAATCCAGGATTACAATCCAACATTTTTCAGTCAGGTCATCTAGACAGTTTCTTTTTTTTTGTGCTGAAACGTTTCGCCTTCGATCCAGAAGGCTTCATCAGTCAAGGAAACACACAACAAAACTGATTCTTCCCCCAACAGCGTACTCCAAAGTGGAACAAACCAGTTCTGCTTGTGATAAGATGGTCTCTTTGGTCCTCCATTGCCGGCCCCCTTCCTTGTTGACAGTCTTGTCAAACTGGTTGAAAACAACAAAGTAATCCATAACTCTTAGGAATCCGACATCCTCAACGAAAAAAAACTTCCACACCGCCGACATTTTGACTTCTTCCTCTCCACCATGATCAGATCATGTAAGCACGTGACGTCGTCACGTTGTGCTGGCACTGCAGGCATCCTGCTCACTGGGTTGTCATACAAAAACAACGTCTTTTATATCGGTGAGTTATTTTGAATGAATGGCCGATGCCCAATATTGAACTTTAACACTAATATCGGCCGATACCATGCCAATAATATTGTGCATCCCTACTGTATATTGTTTTATTTTTCTATTTTTACACCATACCTTTTTTTTACAGAGCATTGGTCAACAACGTTTGTTTTAATATATGCTATACAAATAAACTTGGAGTTAATGGACTTCAGCTTGGAGGATGAAAACTTGTGATTAATTATAAGCTCTTTAGCACAAAACCTCTGCTGCTAATTTTACCAGCCTGTGATATATGTAACAAAATATTTCAACAAAGAAGAATCCGTCCAGAGGACCTGACTAACTGAATTATTGCGCATGCATGAGAAACAAATGTGCTTGTCATGAAAAGACTTCTTTGGTGTAAAGAATCTCCCATTAACATCCATTTTTCTAACTTTAGACATCTTTAAATTCTATTTTCACGGCATGAACAGAGCTCTGTGCTTCGCTCTGCTCACACTCGAGGTGGTTGCTCTGCCACTTGGTTGCAAGATCTCATGAGACGACACCAAGCTACATGGAGAAGCTCCGTGGTGTTTGAGAAATGGCTGGGCACATTACTGCCACCTTGAAGTGCTGGTAGCAATATGTTACTACCTCCACCCATTCATCCATTCTCTTCCGCTTATCCGGGGTCTAAGTAGGGAGGCCCAGACTTCCCTCTCCCCAGCCACTCGGGTCATCTCCTCCGGGGGAATCCCAAGGCGTTCCCAGGCCAGCCGAGATACATAGTCCCTCCAGCGTGTCCTGGGTCTCCTCCTGGTGGGACGTGTCCGGAACACCTCACCAGGGAGGCGTCCAGGAGGCATCCTAACCAGATGCCCGAGCCACCTCAACTGGCTCCTCTCGATGTGGAGAAGCAGCGGATCTACTCGGAGTCCCTCTCGGATCAATCAATCAACCTTTATTTATACAGGTAAATCCCATTGAGCCTCGAGGACTCATTTACAAGAGAGACCTGATTTCAACAAAGAAAGATGACCGGATGACCGAGCTTCTCACCCTCTCTCTAAGGGAGAGCCCAGACACCCTGCGGAGAAAACTCATTTCGGCCGCCTGTATCCGTGATTTTGAAGCTGGCTATGTTACTTCCTGCCAGAGGAAAAAAAACATACATTACAGTAGCATTAATTATTTGAATTTGTGTAATTTTACCAAAAATAAGCATCACCTATCCTTAGTTTGGTGCTGAAACTGATCAAGCTGGCATAACAACTGATACCAAAGTTAAAAATTGATGTTGAAAGTTCTGCAGTAGCCTTACATTTTCAAACACTGAGCTCCATCTTTTAGGTTTCTTAACGCATTGAAATACTTTGATTTTTGTTAAAGATGTAAAGTTCTCCTTGAGTTTGCTTTTTAAACGATCAGATCTTTTCTATTTTTAAACCTCACCCTTTGTCTTTTCTTCTTTAGCCCAGAATCCTAGTGAGGAAACTCCTCCCACGGAAGCTGTTTTGGACTCCAGTCTGGCCTCCTCTCCCCCACATTCTCCCCCATCTCCCACTGACGTCAAGATGGATCTGACCTGCAGGCCTGGAGCAAAATGTAACTTGATGAAGCCCCTGTGGAAGAGCCTGAAAGTTAGCAGTGGAGTTCTTCAAGACACTGAGACTGTTTGCAGGGACTTTCCTGAAAACCAAACAGATCTAAAGCCTAAGATCCAGCCAGATGAAACTCCAGATGATGAGCTTCATCCTCCTCATCGACCAGTCCCTGTGGAACTGGATGAGCCCAATTCTGACCTCAAAAACGTGAGCCTGGATCTAACCTGGATGCAGGAGCATCTTGGTACAGCATATGCAGTTGCACACTTGGGTTTGGGGAGCACAAACACTGGACACCCTTTGTCCTCTCATCTTGCACAGGGAGAAGGGGACAGTCTAGATGGTCCTCCCACCATGTTCTTCACTGGTGGAACGAACAAAATGGCTGCATTTTCCCCCTCATTCGACATGACTGCTGTTACTGCTGCCGTCGTAGCTGCACCACCTTCTCCTGTACCTGCTGTCACTACGGCTCCTTCTGCCTGCATACCCAGTCAGATGCAGCCCTTCAGGAGTAGCACTGTCCTTTCTAAAAAGTCTGTGGCGTGTGCAGTTTGTAGGCAAGTCTTCTTCAGTGCAGCTGCCCTGAAGCTGCACCAGCAGGCGCACACTGGAGAGAGACCCTATACTTGCCGCCACTGTGGAAAAGGCTTTGCCCAGCCCAACAACCTGAGAGTCCACCTTCTTATCCACACCGGAGAGCGGCGTTATCGGTGTACACTGTGTGGAAAAGGTTTCATCTCTTCAAGCCACCTAAAGAGACACCGCACAGTCCACACCCAGGAGAAGCCCTACAGCTGTTCACAGTGTGGACAGTCCTTCAGCCAGATGTGCAGTGTTCGCAGACACAGGCAGCAGTCTCAGTGTGGATTGTAGACCAACCACTAAAGTACATCTGGTTCTGATGTTGGCACAAGTCTTGTTGTCAGTGTTGAATGATTAACTGTCCTGTTTGTGTGGCTTTATGAACCTTTACAGATCTTATGTTCTATGATGTGACATGTAGATCGTCATGCAAATCCTCTGATCCTCAATTTTACCCCAGTAAAGGTCACAGAGTGGACTGTGCGGTTCCTTTACACTCTTGAAACATGTAAAACAGTATGGAATTAGGTTGCAGCATTTTCAAGGTTTGAATAAACGTGGGAAAAAATGGAAGATTGAAAAATGTGTTTCTGTCCTTTGTTTCTTTCTATAGTTTATAAAAGATGAAAATTAAAATTTCTCCTCAAACATGGAGGGTGAGAGCAGGTCCAGGTTCAGAGCTGTCACCTGACGGCAAGATGGGCACAAGTTAAAAATTTAGCTGCAGACTTTCTGGTTACAAGTTCTCCCTGCACGTGTGGGTTTATTCTGGGTACTCTGGTTTCCTCCCACAGACCAAAAACATTTTTGATGGGTTAATTGGTAACTAAATTGGCATGAGAGCATGAATGGTTGTCTCTCTGTGTCCCTGTGATGGAGACAAGACCAGATGGCTTCCTTCACTCCTCAAACCCACGTTCCTCGCTATCAAAGATAATAATAATAATAATCATTTTATTTAAAAAGCGCCTTTCGTGACACCCAAGGACACTTTACAGTAAGAACAAAGATCAGCAGAAATAAATTACATAAAGAATATAAAATACATAAAGAATATAAAATACATACAGAATATAAAATGCATAAAGAATATAAAATACATACAGCAAAGTTAAGGATAAGCGAGTCTAAAGAGATGTGTTTTCAGAGCAGTCTTTAATAAAGAGAGGTGGTGTTTCTTAAGTCAGGGGGTAGAGAGTTCCAGAGATGAGGGGCAGAGCAGGTGAAGGTCCTGCTCCCCATGGTGGAGAGGCGGGCAGAGGGTACATGGAGGTGTAGTGAAGAGGAGGATCTGAGAGAGCGAGAGGGGATGGAGATGTGTAGGAGGTCAGATAGGTACGGAGGGGAAAGGTTGTGGATAGCTTTGAAAGTGAGAAGAAGAATTTTGAAGACGATGCGTGATTTAACCGGGAGCCAGTGGAGCTGCTGCAGGACTGGAGTGATGTGATTATAGGAAGAGGTTTGAGTGATGACACGGGCAGCTGAGTTCTGGACCAATTGCAGCTTCTGGAGAGATTTGTTGGGGAGGCCATAAAGAAGGGAGTTGCAGTAGTCAATCCGAGAAGTCACAAGACTGAACAAGGATGGCTGTGGAGCGGGATGTGAGAGAAGGGTGGAGACGGTTAATATTTCTGAGATGGAAATAGGCAGACCGAGTGACGTTGTTGATGTGTGAAGTGAAGGAGAGAGTGGTGTCGAGGATGACACCAAGACTCTTGATCTGAGGCGAGGGGGATAGCAGAGAGTTGTTAAGGGGGATGAGAAGATTTTCTGATTTTGAAAGAGAGTTTTTGGTACCGACAAGAATGATTTTTGTTTTGTTACTGTTTAGTTGTAGGAAGTTGTTAGAAAACCAGTGATTTAGCTCATTGAGACAGTCGGTGAGGATGGAGGGTGGGTGCAGTTTGGTTTTGTTGGCAGGTAGAGCTGTGTGTCATCAGCATAACAGTGAAAATGGACACCAAATTTAAGGAAGATGTGACCTAGAGGAAGGAGGTAAATGATGAAGAGGAGGGGTCCGAGGACAGGGCCTTGGGGGACACCCATGGAGACGAGGGAAGACTGGGAACGAAAGGATTTGAGCTGAATGAATTGAGTGCGGTCAGAGAGATATGATTTGAACCAGTCTAACGGAGTACCTGAGATGCCAATGGAGGTTAGTCTGTTGATGTCCACATCTTCATCCCTGAGTCTTTCAGCCATCTTTGTGAAGAGAACCCATCCATCATTAAACGGGCAGAGCCTCCATGTCCACTGGTCCCCATCTTGCAACGCTGTTATTGCTAGAATCACTCGGCCCTCTGTGAATAGCAAGCGGCCATCAGGGCATTAACTACCAATTGTTAGGCTGATGGTCCTCCTTTATCATGTGAAGTTCTGGGTGTCAACAACAAACTGGTTGGTCCATTATGAGAAAGTGCTGTTTATAAGACTGAGTTTCATGCAGCTCCTCAGACTGAAGAAGTCTTTTGGATAAAAGATGAAACATTTCAACAAAGAATCTGTCCGGAGGACATGCCTTAACTTTGTTAGATTTTTCGACCTGGATTATTGAGCAGCATCAGGATTTTATAATTTGTTTTACATGTTTTGCATAGCCTTAATAAACACAATGAGTTATTTCCATTTAACTTTTAACAACAACATAATTTCCCACAATTTACAGGGTTTTGCAAAGTTTAACCCTGGAATGAAAATAAAATGGAAAAGAACTAGAAATATTTTTTCCCACATTTTGTTTCCTGCTGTTTTGTGTGTGTGTACTGTATATATATTCACACACAAACACATATACCATATGTATATGAGCACATAAAAATTTATGTTTGTGTATGAATATATATGTATATATATATATATATATATATAATATACAATATATATATATATATATATATATATATATATGTAATATATAAATATAATATATATAAATATAATATATATA